CTGAAGCAGGTTAGAGATCAGGGCTTCAAAATGTAGTTAACAAAAGTTTCGGACTTTATGGGCTTTGGCGTTGCGAGTCTGACTCGTAATTCAAACGTACCGCAAACTAAACCTACTTCTGGCTGCGTGGATTTTTATCATGAAATGGGGCGGTGCAGGTCGACCCAGCCTAAAATGGGTACCAGGATGGCTATCCTGGGGAAGTAAAGGCGGCTGGCGTAATGCTGACCACAATATCCACCTAGTGCCAATTGGTCTGTAAAAATATGGGATGCTCTTCCTATATGCCCGATGCGCCTAAAGTCGTAAAGGGGGATTTTTACTTTACTTACTTACTTCAGACTTAATGCTGTCTGTAATCTCCTCTAATCTTATTGCTCTACCATGTTTTCCCCTTTTCGTGTTTCTGATCTTCTTGACATGGGAGCCTCACCATCCAATCTTCAAGCTTCTTCTTCTGGTCTCCGTGATGCGTTTCTTGAGATACTTATGTGATAGTTTCCCCGTGTTTTCCACACCCACATGACCCTAGACCATGTCTTCAGCTTTTAGTAACCCCTCGGATTGTCAGATCAAGTGAGTGCCTTGCCCTATGCCACTTTGCTTACAGCATGTGGAAAACAGCTTACATAAATATAATTATGTTTGTCATCAAGAAGTTTACGTCAGTGAGCTTCCTGCTGCCTCACAAAGGAGCATACAGAATATAGAAAACACACTAGGGTTTTTTCTGAGGGGAAAGATGAGGGGGGGGGGGTGCCAGGGAGGAGGAAGCGACTAAACGCTAGCCAGCGGAGGGGGGCAGGGAGGGGGAAGCGACTAAACGCTAGCCAGCGGAGGGGGGCAGGAAGGGGGAAGCCACTAAACGCTAGACAGCGGATCAGAAGGTCATGGGTTCGGGTCCGGACGGAGCAGGGCTTTTGTAAAAAATTGACATTGGCTTCCTGTTCCAATCACTCTTGAGTGGGTACCAATTTTAGTCCTAGGAAGTATAGGCGGCCGGCAAAACCACTCGCCTATTGCCGATTGGGCTATAGAATATACTTCTAGCCCTATATGCCCAATACACCCAAAGACGTGGAATAGGGTTCTTTACTTTCATTCTTTAGAGGCAGTTTTTAATCTTTTTTAATGCAAATTAAGACTATTGCTAAAAATCTTTGGGATCGTCCCCGCAGCTAAGGATCTCGTGCTTTGTAACACGCTCTCTGCAAGTGGCTAACTGATCTTAGGAGAGAGACCGAGCAGTATGGTATAACATTTGGTAGAGTGAAGTCGATCTTCTCAAATCCTGAACTGTAGACATTGTTAAGTCCAGGACTCCTGGCAAAGGGAAATGCCGTGTACGTTTAAAAGCGTGGTCGCTGTTGAAGAGCCTATATACTCAGGGGAGAAGTCACATTTAAAAAAAACATAAGAAAAAAAAACGAGGGGGGGGGGGAGTGGGTCCCTTAGCACCCTTACAAATTTCTGGAAAGAGGGGGTCTTAAGAAGCATAAACCTTGTTTAAGAAATTAATAATAATATATACGGAGATTTCTTTTTTGTTAAACAAAAAGAAGTGGGGTACTCACCACAAAGAGGCTAACAAGGTGCCGGTACTCACCACAAAGAGGCTAACAAGGTGCCGGTACTCACAACGTTGTATGTTTTACAGTAAGTACAGAAACGGTAAAAGACCCTTTACCAGGCTTTTAGGCGTATTGGGCATACGTGGTTAGACCGAAATTGTATAGACCAATCGGCGCTAGGTGGGTGATGTCATCATCCCACCAGCCGCCTTCTCTTCCCAGGTGCCAGTTTATACCTGGGTCGACCTGGAAGCCAAGATCATTTTGGGAAAAGTTCCATTGTTAGCAGGGATAGAAAAAAGCCTGTGAAAAATGCCGGTACTGATGTGTACGGCTGGAAATAAAGCCCCGATATTTATAATAATAGAACTAATAATATTAATAATACTAATAATAATAACAATAATAATAATAATTATTATTATAAGTTGAATGTCACATACATATAATAAATCATCATGAATTCTTGCTATGCCTAGTGGCACATGAGGCTTCAGAAAGGACTTTCCATTCTTTCCTGTCCTGTGCAATCTTCAGTGCAGTTTTCTATGTCAGAGATACAGTACTCGGTTCATTTTCCATCGTTCGTCTCCATGTAGTTTTTGGGCGCCTCTTGTTTCTCTTTCCCTCTGGCATCCATGTGAGAGCTGTTTTGGCAGGTATATCAGGATTCATTCTCATAACGTGGCCAAGCCATTTTTATACACACATATAATTCTATATTTAAATTGATGTGGCATTTACAGATAATTTTTTTTTAAAAGGCTAATTTTACACGTGCTTATGGAAAAGGAATGGATTGCTTAACTCTCTTACGTTTAACGTTTTTTTTCCCTTTATAGGAAGTGTCTGTGTGTGTGTGTGTGTGTGTGTGTGTGTGCGCGTGTGTGTGTCTTTGTGTCTATGTGTGTGTGGAAGGGGCAGGATGGGGGAGGGGTGTTGGCTCAAGGTGCTGAATTCTTTGATCACCAGGAAAGATTTCGTTTGAAATGCCAGTGAAGATGTAATGTACTTGTGATCAAAATTCATCAACGAATTACTTTCAAAGTGGTCATTTAACAGTTCTCGTGACCACTAGACAAGACAGATTTCTCTAGTGAGCTCTGACCGAATACATAAGTAAGAAAGCATGTTACACTAAGGATGAGATTCAACAGATAGGGTGATTTACACACCATGCATTGCTTGGGAATCAAGAGTTTAGCCTAAACATTCCGACGCCCCTGTACATACTTGATTTCCAACATACAATTAAGACCTGGGAAGGAGGTGAGGGCGCCGAGACCTTAGTTAAATGTCCAGTGGAGTGATTTAGCGTCGTCTGGTGTTTTCATTATTTATGGTCTATTGAGAAATGTCAGAATTAGTCAAGTCGTCTCCCAGGTGTCCGATTTTACTCGCCAGACGAATATTTCCTAAACTGTGATCTCCACTGTGTGAGGGAAAAAAAGGGGGGGGGGGGGGGCATTTGGAGAAGAAGAAGGGTGTAAAGAAGTTTAGGGGGAAAATGTGCCTTTGTACTTGTAATAATTAGTCAAACTAATTTTTTTTTCAATTTAATTATGAGTAAAATATGTTGTATTTTCAGTTTAATTATGAGTAAAATATGTTGTTCAGTTTAATTATGAGTAAAATATGTTGTATTTTCAGTTTAGCTATGAGTAAAATATGTTGTGTATTTTCAGTTTAACTATGAGTAAAATATGTTATATTTTCATTTTAACTATGAGTAAAATATGTTGTATTTTCAGTTTAGCTATGAGTGAAATATGTGTTTATTTTCAGTTTAACTATGAGTAAATTATGTTATATTTTCAGTTTAACTATTATTAAAATATGTTGTATTTTCACTTTAATTATTAGTTAAATATATTGTATTTTCAGTTAAATTATGAGTAAAATATGTTGTATTCAGTTTAACTATGAGTAAAATATGTTGTGTTTTTTCGGTTTAACTATGAGTAAAATATGTTGAATTTTCAGTTTAACTATGAGTAAAATATGTTGTTTTTTTCAGTTTAACTATTAGTAAAATATTTTGTATTTTCAGTTTAATTATTAGTAAAATATGTTCTATTTTCACTTTAATTATGAGTAAAATATGAGGTATTTTTGATTTGATTATAAGTAAAATTTGTATATTTTCAGTTTAATTATGAGTAAAATATGTTATAAAACTGTTTATAAAGGAAGTCGCTGCCACGGAGCGGTTAGACGCTCGCCGGCGGATCGTAAGGTCGTGGGTTTACTTCCTAGTGGAGCCGGACTTTTTTCAAAAATGACCTTGGCTCCCATGTCGACGCAGCCTTGAGTGGGTACTGGTTTCAGTCTTGGAAAGTAAAGGCAGCCAGCCTAATGCTGACCACATCACCCATTTTGTGCCGCTAGTCTACAAAAAACAGGTCCAGCTCTATATAGACAAAACGCCTAAAAGGCGAGGAAAAGGGTCCTTTACTTTTGCTATTTTTTAAACAAAACAATTAAATTAAGGACGTTTTTTTTTTTTTTGGTGTGTTTTCACGAACACTTTATATATCTATTATTAAAATTATGTTGTACACGCAAAAATCAGGTCCAGGTGAAAGCCAAAAGTCCAAGCGGACGATTAACCGGGACCTTCCACTGGAATTCACAGCCGGTGTTCGATGAAAAAAAAAAAAAAATTAAAATTATAAATAATATGATAACATGTGTACTTAAATACAGATTCAGAACACTTTCATCTTCCTTTTTAAAAATAATTTGCTTATGTGGGGAGGGACGTTAAGGGCGGGGTAGGTCTTACCATGTACTCAGTGTCGGCGCAACCTGAAATTGTTTTGGAGGCTACTGTATTAAACTTAAGACTTTCTATCTCTGGCTGTATATGCACAGATAGGTGTTTTGTCTGCTTGTTTGATTTTCTGTGTATGTGAGCCTCTGTGCGTACGTATTGTAGTATTTCATACCGTTTTGTTTGTGCACTTTTTTTTTAAAAAGTGTGGAAAAGGGAGGGGGGGGGGGGGGAATAAAAGACTATTCCCTGTCTTTAGGCGTAAAGGGCAAGTAGGGCTAGATCTGTGTTTTAAAGTGGGCATTCGGTGGGGGATGTGGTCTGCATCCCGCTGGCCTCCTTTATTTCCCAGGACTGTACCTGGCACTCATTTAAAACTGACCTTGACCCAGGAGCCGAGGTTATTTATAAACAAAACAAAACCAAGTTCGGCTCTGTCAGAAACTGAAACAATAATCTTCGGATCCATAGCTCTGCGGATAGCCCTTACACCACAGTGGCTCCAGTGTCTGTGTATTAGTGTGTAATACACATGTGGGCGCTATGCACACGTGAATGCCTGTGTCTGCGTGCATGGACGCTTTAACATGCATATGGTCGTAGATACACACATACACGTATGCATCTATGTATATGTGCATTCCTTATGAAAACTGTCACACATCAGACACCATAAGGCACGCTCTAGGATTATTCTCTCTATCAGCTCTCTCCGGGATATTAATCCGACCCCTTCCAGCCATCTCCTCGTCGTCGTCAAATGAGTCATGTCGACATTTGTGCTTCAACCTTATCCTGATATCACACAACAACGATTTAGTACTGCGGCGAAAACTTGGCGAAAACACCAGATATATGTACAGCTTGATCACCCACTCAAATCTACTAATGTACATCAAAATGCTCTGAATCCCCCACAGCGTTGACGGCGTTCCGGTAATAGTGACATACGTCCGCATCAGCCCAATAGGAAGTTTCAAAACCAAGACAATTAATACCACTGGAAATATAACGTTCGTCACTCGAACAGGAGCTCTTAAAGACGACTGTCTAGAGGGCCCGTTCCGGTTTGTGACTTCCACAGCTGTGGAAATACGGTAATACTCGCATCCTCGACCGCAGATCAACAACATCAAGATGATGAGGACGATGGCGGGCAAGATGACCACAACAACTCCGTCGATTTTCATTAAAATAGAGAAGTCTGTTCGGAACACGTCAAAGACGAAGCAGTATAACTGTTTGGATAAAACCATGGACCCCACCATGTAGATGACGTAGTAGTAGCACGTTCCGGTCAAAACCATCATACCTGGAATACAAAATGGGAACGGTGTCAAAATATTATCAAGAAGTATGTTTTCGAGTTTAGAACATTCAATGTTATGCCTCGGCATAATTTATTTGGCTTGCTTCTGTTGATCACAAATTGTCAGTGATTGTTTTAAGTATGCCTATCGATCCTTCGAGTCTCTAAGCCTGGCCTTAGAAAGTCAGACGTCCTATCCACTACCCGAGATCAGATAGTACTATAATGTACTCTTGCTAATCTTTTTCTTCTTCTTCGCGTTCACCAAATGTAAACTCTGGCGGAAAGTTCTAGTTCTTTTACTCACTTCTGAACTGCAGTCCTATTCCAGAACCTGACTTTTGCGTGTGCATCCCTTTTACAGATCTGACTCATTTGTATGCAGACTGCTGGTTCCTTGCCTCTCAGGCAGATGCAGTCCTATTTTGAAGGAAGCTCTCAATTAGTCGACTGGGCAGTGGGCCTATTCTTGTTCTCCTGATAACAGGGCCCGATAACCCACACGGGGACCACTTGCTTATGAAACATACCCATTTAACTGCCCTTAGGAACTATATTTGAGATATTCATAGGCGAACGAACGAGCAAACGAACGATATTTCTGAACTTTTTATTCACAAATTAGGCACGCAGGCCCGTCTTACATTTGGCCGTTCGAAACACCTGTATTTCACACAGCAGTTGTATTTTATTAAAAAAAGCATGTTACCTTTAAATAAAACATTTGCATTTGAATATTAATATAAGACACAGAAGCATGGGTGATAAGATGCATGCGCACATTCGTGCGGGCGGTCACACACACACCCACATACACACGCCCAAAAATAAAACAACATACATATATCCATCCGCCCATCCATCCATACATACAGGAATACTTATATAATTACATACATAATATATACATGCACAGACACACACAAACATACGCATGCATTCAAACATATACAGATGCCTCCATTCATACATACATACGTTCGCATGTACATGCATACATATATACATGCATACATACGTACGCACGCACGCACATACATGCATCCGACAATACATACATACATACATACATACATACATACATACATACATACATACATACATACATACATACATACATACATACATACATACATACATACATACATACATACATACATACATACATACATACATACATACATACATACATACATACATACATACACACACACATACATACATACACACATACATACATATACACGTATGCATGCATGTATCGTAAACAATAAGTTACTCAACCCCAACCAAGTGGTACACTTAACGCTCTCTCTGCAAGCATCTAGAACTGATTCACACTTCTTAAGACAAATGTTACAGACAATTTTAGACACTTCTTTATTACAATGATACAGCAATGATTAGTTTAGTTATATTTTGAAGTAATTCAAGCTATGTGTTTGTAGGTAATAGAATATTGCGTGCTATGTTTTTAGCATGTAATAAAAAAATAGACGATGTATTGATCGGCACTCATAGAAAGAAGTAGAAAGATAGAAGAACACATTAGACAACATAAAACTCTAAATCTATAGTCACCGTGCTGGGCGGGAATCGAACCCGTCAATTCCAAATGGCTAGTGCGCATTGCTTTGGAAACAAGAGCACTGAGAACATGGTCAACTAGGCACCCCCAAGAAATGTGTCTTTATTGGCCATGTCTATCGAACAGCTTGAAATCCACAACTATGGAATACGTACCGAATTAATCTCAAGCCATTTAAATTGCACCCGAGGTTTCATAAATTTATATTAACGAAGCATATGTCTTATAACAAACGCAGCAACAGTTAACAAATACTGTAGGCCATAATGCGTTGGTTAGAATAAACAAACATTTCTGTAAGGTATTTGATTGGTAGGTCCCATTGGGTATACATCATTCACATAAACAGAGGGGGACCCTTACGGCCGTATTAACAAATGTAACAAACACATGGATAGTGTATTGATCTGCACTCATAGAAATAAGAAAAAAAGATCAAAGAACACACTAGACAACATGCATTATTTACATCTATCTATGCTTATTGATTCATCTATGCTTAGTGAATATTACAGCCTGGAGAGAATGAGGCACCTGTGTGTAACTGGAGGGTCTGGCCGGCTCACAACACTCAGAGAAATTGCAAGATGGCCATATAACCAGATTGTGATCTGTACCATCAGTATTGGAACTCTGCGCTGGCTGCTGAAGACGAGGACGGAGCACGCATGGAAAAGCCCCGAGTGTTGTAATGTCAATTCTTGTCTCAACTTAGCTAATCTATTTCTATTGAAGACTTGTGAAACATTTACGCAGTCTTCATCGAAATCGTGTGTCCAGTTTCTTCTCCGCGATCCTCAGGTACTTGCTTATCTAATCCTTCACAGTCATTCCTCTTCGTCTTTTTAGCGTTCACCAGTAGTAAACATATGTGGAAAGTTCTGCTTGTTCGTCCACTTCTGGACTTCAGCCTTGTTCCAGATCTTGAACTTTGCTTCACCTCCGTATTACAGATCTGGCTTCCTTGTATGCAGACTGTTGGTTCCACAGGCAGATGAGCTCTGACATTAGTCAGTCGCCTTTTAAGACTGCTTGTTAGGGAATCAGTCGGTCCATTTCTCCAACCCTCTTTTCCCCAGATGGGGCCCCGGCAACCACATAGGGAGTTCACAGTTCCAGACTCACTGCCAAACGTAACAGTAGAGCAAGTTTGATCTAACATTGCGGGTATCTTTCATTCAATGTCAGGTCTGCTTGCGATTTGTCTGCAAGCTGCTTTTAAGTGGATTGTCACAACGGTGTGCATGTAGTACCATTCAGACAGCAATGCCAAACTACACAATATAAAATTACCTGGTAAAACCACACATTACACAATGAATATCGAGGTTTGTTTGCGAAGTTCTGTGAATAATATGCAGATAACTTCAGTTTTCTTTCAACTAACGTGACTCACCAAAAAAAATAATGTAATGTACACTTAACCCTACTGTTGTGGTGTAGACATTCAGACAATGAACAAGAAGCAACTAGAAATTCGAATTCAGTCTCAGGAAATGTGGATATACAGAAGATTAGGTTGTATTTCGTGGGGCAAATATTGCAGAGGGTCTGGAAAAACTGCCAGGAAAAAAAAAATTACTGAAATAAATAAAAAAGAGAACTGAAAAGGTTTAGAAATATTAAACGACACGTTTCTTTATAAACTATAATGTATGGAAAAGTCAAGGACAAGGGAGCAATAGGTAGACAACGATACAAAATAGGAGGACGAGATCAAGAGATGGACAAATATCAGTGTGGGAGAGTGTACAATCAAGACCAGAGACAGAGCTTGTTAGAAATCCATTATAGCCAACCTACGTTGTGAAATATTGCCTGATTGATTTATAGATTACACGAGATATATCCCCTCTTCTGAGCTGCACTTTTAGTATGATTCTTTTCTTCTTCTCTTTCTTTCTTCTTCTTCTTCTTCTTCTTCTTCTTCTTCTTCTTCTTCTTCTTCTTCTTCTTCTTCTTCTTCTTCTTCTTCTTCTTCTTCTTCTTCTTCTTCTTCTTCTTCTCTTTCTTCGTCTTCTTCTTCTTCCTCTTCTTCTTCTTCTTTCTCTTCTTCTTTCTTTCTTTCTTTCTTTCTTTCTTTCTTTCTTTCTTTCTTTCTTTCTTTCTTTCTTTCTTTCTTTCTTTCTTTCTTTCTTTCTTTCTTTCTTTCTTTCTTTCTTTCTTTCTTTCTTTCTTTCTTTCTTTTCTTTCTTTCTTTCTTTCTTTCTTTTCTTTCTTTCTTTCTTTCTTTCTTTCTTTCTGTCTGTCTGTCTGTCTGTCTGTCTGTCCTTTCTTTCTTTCTTTCTTTCTTTCTTTCTTTCTTTCTTTCTTTCTTTCTTTCTTTCTTTCTTTCTTTCTTTTCTTTCTTTCTTTTTCTTTCTTTCTTTCTTTCTTTCTTTCTTTCTTTCTTTCTTTCTCTTTCTTTCTTTCTTTCTTTTCTTTCTTTCTTTCTTTCTTTCTTTCTTTCTTTCTTTCTTTCTTTCTTTCTTTCTCTCTTTCTTTCTTTCTGTACTAGAAGCAGAGCAGAGGGGTAACTTCTAATGAAGGAAAGAGAAGAGATAACTATAAAGGATAATATGGAAATCTACTCCTTGAAATCTCCTCGACTCCGAACCAACACGAGTTCTAACAATTTGACGGAGTTAGTGGGAGCCTAAACCCAACCTTAAGCTGCCTCAGTAACAAGAAAAAAAAAAAAGATAAAAAGTTCTGGGTAAGACCAAATGTATCTTACACTAACAAGAAATCTTCTGTGTAAAGTCTTGATCAGCCAAGCAACAACTACTAAACTAGGCACGCTAACAACAAGTCCTAACTGAAAAACAACTGGAACTATGATTACTACATTAAACATCTGTTTATTTCACCTAACATAAAATCAGCGTGGTCCAAAAATAACATTAAGGGGGCAGTTCTAGCAGGGAATCTCGAAAAAATTTGATTTTTGAATTAAGAAAAAAATTTGGTATCAAATTAAAGATTAACCAATATCCTACATGTTTCTGTATAAACTGTTTTAATCGGTTGAGTAGTTTCGGAGTTATGATGGTTCAAAGATAGTCAGGTGTTTCTGGTCTTGGTAGAAGAAAAAAAAAATCTAGAATTCGTGTTTTCACAAATACACATATCTTAAGCAACAATGCGAGCCTCCCTAACAGTTTTCCTACAATGAACGACCCTTCAAATGAAACAATCAAAATGGCTGCCTTTGTGGAAGCGTGTTAATATTTTGTTTGTTCTGAAATTGTTTGTATAAGTGATATTCCAAATAATGTCAAGTGATAAAAAGTATTGTAAACATTCAATGAAGCGAAAGTTTCACGGGCATAGGTTTATGAGTGCTACAAAGAGATGCGGAGAATTAGATTTAAATCATTCTATTGAGAACGACAAACATGTAAACACTGACATTCCTACAAGTAATTTTTTTACA